GGGGGGCACCGCTGGACACTCACAGGGCCGTCGGTTGAACTGTGTCTACTGAGCATTTCTTACGGGCAAGGGGGACACGGGGCCCATGAGCCGCGGCCTCGTACAGGTTCCAGACCCGTAGGGGCAAAGATATTACTCTCACACCGGTGAGTCTATACTGGCACCTGAGAAAAACGCTCTCAGGGAAAGGAGTCCGCTTCAGTGAGGGTGTATTACAGAGGTGACAGAGTGGCCCTTTGTCAAAGCAAGCAGGATCGAATTACTTCCTGCCTAAACCCCGTCCTGGCTTCCCGTCGGTGCCCGTTGCCCGGGCATAAAGCCTCCAGCCCTCCCTGGGGCCCACAAGGCCCTGGGCCTGGGCCACCTCCCTCCTCCACCTCTCGCCGCCCCTCACTCCGTGAGCTGCAGCTACCCTAAGCCTCTTGTGGATCTTCTGATGTGTCCGGCTTGCACCCACCACAGGACCTTGGCACGTGCTGGGCTCACCGCTTTAAACACTCATCACTGGTCTCCACAGCAGCTCCTTCGAGGTCCAGCTCCAATGTCACCTCCTCAGAGAGGCTTCCCCTGGCCGGCGCATCTAAAGAAACACTCCTTATCACGTCGTCCTGTTTTATTTCCATGACACCCGGATATTGTCCGGCCTGATTCTGTCTGTCTCCTTCACCAGTATGCCTGTCCTCACACCAGGGCCCACAGCATGCGAGGGGTGTGATGGTCTGTGGAATGAATGGATGAGTGAGTGAGTGAGTGAGTGAGTGAATAGGGGACCTGACCCCAGCGGGAGAGGTCAGGGAAGGCTTTCTGGGCCGCCCTCTGATAGACAAGGAGGAACCGGGCTGTTAACCTCAAATCTGGCTGAACACCAGAATCCCGGGGGCTCTCGGGCATGCCGAGCAAGGTCCAGGGATCTGTTTTCACACGCCTTCCAGAGGCTTCTGATGAACACTCCAGATAGGCCAGGGGAGGGGGGAGAAGGGTCTTCCAGAAGCCCAAATGTCAGGAGGGACTCCCACGCTGACCTATTCTCCAGCTTCTTCTCACTGAGACAAGCCCAAGGCTGTCTCCCTTTCCACCCTCTCCTTGAGGCGGCTGAGATCCAAGGCGGCCGGGCACCTGATTTTGCACTTGGTGTTGGCTCCCAAGTGCCCCCGCCCCGAGCCGCGGTTAGTGCAATCTGGCTCCGTGGGAAAAGTGCATTTTGCTTCCAGCTCCCTTGTCCCGGCCCTGCCCCCGCACCGGAAAGGGAGAAAGTTGTCAGGTACACCAAGGTGTTTATTTCGGCAACGTGTTTACCACCAGATGGGAATCCAGCTCCTGAAACTCGATCCTCAGGAGCCTCCACGGAAAGAAACAAGACACCGGCACCCTCTGAGCTTTGCTGCGCGGGTGACAGCAGGGAGTCGAGCTCTTTTTTCTCTTCCTTCTCCTTCCACGGCCCCTCCCCATCGAATCTAAGATTTCTCCTGCACGGATAGGTCTTGAATTCTTTGATTTCTCTCCATCTGCGCTGGTTTCAGAATTGGGTCTTCCCTCCCCCACCCCCCCGGCCCCCAGCAGCACCCGCCCTGCCCTCACCTTGATTACCCACTTCTGGCCCCCAGAGACACGGAATAACTTCTGTTGTGACACATCAGCTCTAGCTGGACGGCCAGATGCCCCCTGAAACTCAGGTGCCTCCAAAGCTCAAAGGGACAGCGGCAAACGGTAACCGGAGGCTACTTCTTAATCTCCCCGCGCTATATTCCCTTCCGCCCACCTGCCCCAATGGCTGATATCCTACCAGTTTCTGATTGAAGAAGAATCTGGGGGAAGGTCAGCACTTTTGCTGTCTTCCTGTTGGCACGTTTCATGTTCCTTGGAATTTCTGAAAAACAAAGAACTGAAGTGAGAGATTTCCCCAGCCCAGCACTGACAAGAGGAACTGAGTTCGAGTAAAACAAAACACAAACTCTGATCTTCCTGCAGAACAGTAACTCAGACGCTCTTCCGAGCAAACACTCTCTCCTTTAAGAAGGCACCTTTTGGGACGCCCAGGGGGCTCGGTCAGTGAAGCATCCCACTTTGGCTCAGGTCACGATGTCACAGTTCGTGGGTTCGAGTCCCGCGTCGGGCTCTGTGCTGACAGCTCGGAGCCTGGAGCCTGCTTGGGATTCTGGGTCTCTCTCTTCTCTGCTCCTCCCCCACTCTCACTCTGTCTCTCTGTCTCTCAAAAATAAATAAACATTAAAAACAAACAAAAGAAAAAAGAAAAAAAGAAAGCAAGCACCTCTGAAGCCAAGAACACAAGCTCTCCAAACCCTGTGAGGAAAGGTCAACTTTGCAGTTCGTCTGAATATGAGCCCTGTACAATCCCTATGGTAATGTTACATCTCAAAGCCTCAAGGAAAGCTTCTGGAAAGCCACAGAAGAACCTGGTACTTGAGGTTCCCTTCGAGGGGGGCAGCCAGGGCAGAGCAAGGCTTATCTTCTGCCCAAACCTGTTTATACTTGTGTGGCTTTAACTCATATCTCTGGAGCCTGTGACAGTTCTCCAGAAAAAGTGAAGCCCGTTTTGTATGAAAGGACATGGTCAACAGGGTGAAAAGGCAACCTCACAGAATGGAAGAGAATGTTTGCAAGTCGTGTGTCAGATAAGGGGTTAATATCTAGACTATATACAAAGCTCCTGCAACTCAACAACAACAAATCAAAGAACCCGGTCAAAAAACGAACAAAGGACTTGAGTAGGAATTTCTCCAAAAATGATGTACAAGTGGGTCGACAAGGACATAGAAGGATTCTCCGTATCGCTAGTTGTCGGCGAAATGCCCATCAGTGAGATCTGACCTCACACCCATCAGGATGGCTACCACCCAAAAGACAGAAAACAACCAGCACGGGCAAGGGCATGGAGAAATCGGGAATCCAGCAATCCCACTTCTAGGTATACACCCCGAAGAACTCAAAGCAGGATCTCAAAGAAATAGTCACACACGCGTGTTCACAGCAGCGTTATTCACAATAGCTGAGAGGTGGGAGCAACGCCAGCGCCCGCTGACGGACGAATGGCTCAACACGATGTGTTCCAGCCATACGGTGGAATATCATCCTGCCTTAGAAATTTGGAATGGGGCGCCCAGGGGGGCTCAGTCGGTTAAGCGTCCGACTTCGGCCCAGGTCACGATCTCGCGGTTCATGGGTTCGAGCCCCGCTAGCGCTCTGTCTCTCTCTCTCTGTCCGAAATAAATAAAACATTTTTTAAAAGTTGGGAATAAAATTCCGTCACCTCCTACAACAGGAACGAACCTCGAGAACATTATGCTAAGTGAAATAGGGCAGTCACAAAAGTCAAATAGGGATTCCCGTTACGTGAGCAGTCAGATTTACAGTCTGGGGGGCGGGGGGGGGGCGCCAGGGTCTGGGGGAGCGGGAGCGAGAAGTTCATGTTTAATGAGCTTCTGTTTTCCAAGATGAAAAAGTTCTAGATAGCCTTAACCCTGCACCTTCTAGCTGTGCTCGCTTCTAATGAACAGGATGTGGCAGAGGCGATGAGGTCCGCCTGGCTCTCAGGGGCTGCTCGCTCTCGGACCCCAGACCAAGTGCCGATGCTCTGTGCTGTGTTCTAGCAACAACCGCCAGCGAGGACCCAGCCCAAACCAGCACCAACTGCCAGCCGTGCGAGGGAGGGAGCTTCTTGATTTCCGCAGCCACTTCTGACCCAAGCACCTGACAAAGCTGCGCAGGGACCGCCCTGCTGAGCCCGGTCACCCCCAGAGCCGAGCCACACAATCGTCGGACGGCGTGATTTCCTGCCCCTAAGTCCGGAACGGTTTTTTAAGCAGCGACAGATAACTAAGCAATCCTGCTGAATCATTTTCATTATGTCTGTATATTAGGTATGCTTTTAATACCTCATAAATAGAATTAAAGGGCCATCTTTTACGGGGGTGCCTGGTTGGTTCCGTCGGTCAAGCATCCGACTCTTGATTTTGGCTCAGGTCACGATATCAGTGTTTGTGAGTTCGAGCCCCGCGTTGGGCTCCAGACCTGACAGCTCAGCGCTGAGCCTGTTGGGACTCTCTCCCTCCCTCTCTGCCCCTCTCCCACAGATGCTCTCTCTCTCTCTCTCTTCCAAAATGAAATAAATAAACTTAAAAAAAGATCAGAATTTAAAAATATAATTTAAAGGATAAGTAAAGCCCTACGGCTGCTGTTCAAGTCTAAAAATTTGCACAAAAGCTCAAAAAAAAATTCTAGATCAGTTTTTGCCCCTGTATCTCAAGGAAATACTTTCAGATTTTTTTTTCCTGATTGTGAAATATCTTAAAAGTATACTATATAGTATAGCATCATGCACACCGGGTACCTAGCACCCAGACCTAATAAGTCTTCCTACTGTGACGTATTTCTTTCTGCTTGTTTTTTTTTTTTGAAAATGGTACCAAAAAAAAAAAAAAAACATAAATTTACCATCTTAACTCTTTTTAAACGCGCAGTTCACTGGTGTTAAGTACATTCACGTGGCTAGACACAGAGGTCCAGAACTTCTGCATCTCACAAAAGTAAAGCTCTGTCCCCATAAACAACATGCCCCGCTTCCTCCCTTCCCCAGCCCCTGGCAACCGCCACCCTGCTTTCTGTTTCAATGAGTTCGGCTACTTTAGACACTTCATATAAGTGGAATCAGGCGGTGGTTGCCTTTGGTGATTGGCTTCTTTCTTTCTTTCAATTGAGGTGAAACGACAGAAAAGTAACATTTTCCTAGGAACAGTTCGGGGGCATCCAGTCCTTCCACGATGCTGTGCAACCCCATTTCTGTCTATTTCCGAGACTTTTCATCACCCCAGATCAAACCCCGCCTCCATTAACGTTACTGCCTGCTCCACCCCCACCCCCACCCCACCCCAGACCCTGGCACCCACCAGGCTACTTCCTGTCCCGATGGATTTGCCGATTCTGGACATTTCATATAAATTAGATCAGGCATCATGTGGCCATACTGTCTCTGCTTGTTTGGGAAATGCAATATCGGGGCGCCCGGCTGGCTGCGTGGTAGAGCAGGTGACTCCTGATCTGGGGGTCCTGCGAGCTCCACATCGGGTATGGAGATTATTTAAAAACAAGACCTTAAAAAAAATACATTATTACTGACTGACGCCTCTGTCCAGTACCATGCCCGTTATTCTAATAACTAATAAAGAATTTTTTGAAATAGAAGAACTGTATTTCAGGATGATAACAAGACTCAAACTTGTAGGGACGCCTGGGTGGCTCGGTCGGTTAAGTATCCAGCTCTTGATTTGGGCTCAGGTCCTGATCTTGCGGTTGGGGAGTTCGAGCCCCACGTCAAGCGCTGACGGTGCGGAGCCTGCTTGGGATTCTCTCTCCCCCTCTCTCTGCCCCTCTCCTGCTCATATGCTCTCTCTCTCTCTCTCGAATTAAATAAATAAAAACTTTTAAAAAAAGGCTTGACGTTGTAGTAAGAATGTCTCTCCAAGTTGGAACCAATTATTGTTATCCACTTGGTACTTATTTCACAGACTTTAATTGAGCGCCTACTATCGCCAAGCCCTGTTTGTGGCCCCGGAGATACGGCAACGAAAAGGCAGGTGAGGCTCCTGCTTTTATTTTTATTTTTTAAGTTTATTTACCGATTTTGAGAAAGTGAGAGCACACACAGGCAGGGGAGGGGCAGAGAGAGAGAGAAAGAGAATCCCAAGCAGGCTCCGGACTCTCAGGGCAGGGCCCAGTGCGGGGCTCAAAACCGAAAGCCATGAGATCGTGACCTCAGCGGAAGTCAAGGTTGGAGACTTAAGCGACCGAGCCCCCCAGGCGCCCTGAGGCCCTTGCTTTTAAAGAACGGTGGAGGAGCACCTGGTTGGCTCAGTAGGTAGAGCGTGCAATTCTTACAAAAAAAAATTTTTTTTTTAATGTTTATTTATTTTGGGGAGAGAAAGAGACACGGAGCTTGAGTGGGAGAGAGGCAGAGAGAGGGGGGGACACGGAATCCGAGGCAGGCTCCAGGCTCTGAGCCGTCAGCACAGAGCCCGATGTGGGGCTCGAACCTCGCGAACCGTGAGATCATGACCTGAGCCGAAGTCGGACGCTTAACAGACAGCCACCCAGGCACCCCGAGCGTGCAATTCTTGATCTCAGGGTCGGGAGTTCAAGCCTCATGCCGGATGTTAGAAATTACTTAAAAAAATAAAATCTTAGGGGCACCCGGGCGGCTCGGTTGGTTAAATGTCTGACTCTTGACTTCGGCTCAGATCGTGATCCCAGGGTCCTGAGACTGAACCCCACGTCCAGCTCTGCGCTGACCGCATGGAACCTGCTCGGGATTCTCTCTCTCCCTTTCTCTCGGCCCCTTCCCTGCTTCTGCTCTCCCTCTCAAAATAAATAAGCATTTAAAACAAAATGTCTATCATCAGCTGAATGGAGAAAGAGAAGGCCGCCGTCCACATCGGGGAATAGGGTTCGGGCGTCACAAGGCAGAAGCAGGGACGCACACACCAGGCCTCCGATGCACCAGGCAGGCCTGACCCCCGAGGAGAGAAGCCAGACGCAGCAGGCCACCCAGCCCTGCCTCCACGCACGTCCAAGCGTCCAGACCAGGTTCATCCACAGAGAGGGAAAGCACAGCGGGGCGGCTGGGTGGCCCTGGCGGTGAGCGTCCAACTTCAGCTCAGGTCATGATCTGGCGGTTCGAGTCCCGGGTCGGGCCCTGCGCCGAGCGCTCAGAGCCTGGAGCCGGCTTCTGATTCTGCGTCTCCCTCTCCCTCTGCTCCTACCCCACTCACACTCTGTCTCTCTCTGAAAAATAAATAAACATTAAAAAAAGATTTTTTTTTTTTTTTTTTTTTTTTTAAAGAAAGCCCAGGCTGGTGCTGCCAGGAGCCGGGGGAGAGACAGCAGAGGTGACCCCTTGGCGGGTACGAAGTTTCCTTTCCGAGTGACGAAATGTTCCGGAGCCAGAGAGAGGCGATGGTTGCACAATGTCGTGAACAGATGAAATCCCGCTGGGTTGTGCGCTCCACCGCGGTTGAAACGGCGCTTTGTATGTTCCGTGAATGTCACCCCAAGGTTAAGAAGTGGGGGACACCACTCTGCTGGGGGACGCGAATAACGGCGAGGCTGTGGGGGGTGGGGGGTGGGCAGCGTGTATGGAAACGCCCTGTACCTCCCGTCAAACTTTGCTGTGGGCCTGAAACTGCTCTAAAAAATAAGGGCTATTAACAAAACAAAAACAAAAAGAAAAAGCAGGAGGAAATGCAGTGAGGAAGGGAGGAAGGGAGACGGGCCTTGCTCACCCCCTTTCTGGGGTGTTCGGCCGCCTCCTTGCGCCCCCTTGTGGCTCAGGTCGCGATCTTGCGGTTGGTGAGTTCGAGCCCCGCTTAGGGCTCTCAGCGCACAGCCTGCTTCAGACCCTGTGTCCCCTTCTCCCTCTGCCCCTCCCCAGCTTGCGCCCGTTCAAACATAAATAAAACATTAAAATAATAGTAACAATAAATAAATAAAAATCTGGGGCGCCTGGGTGGCTCAGTGAGTTAGGCGTCCAACTTTGGCTCAGGTCACGATCTCCCGGCTGGTGAGTTTGAGCCACAGGTCGGGCTCCCTGCTGTCAGCGTGGAGCCCGCTTCGGCTCCTCTGTCCCCCCTCTCTCTCTGCCTCTCCCCTGTTTGATCGCTCTCTCCCTCTCTCTCTCAAAAAGAAATAAACGCCTTAAAAAATACAAATACAAATCTTCCCACATGAAAGGCTCTGTGACCACTCTCAGGTTCTCCACCTATTACCTAAACTCTGTTCCACGTCTTGCCTCCGCACGTATATTTTTCCCCCCACTTGGAGCATTTTTAAGCGTACGGTTCACGGCACGAAGGACACGCCCGCTGTTGTGCAGCCGTCACCTCCGTGCGTCTCCAGAGTTCTTTCATCTTCCCGAACTCAGACTCTGTCCCCATGAAACACTGACTCCCCAGTCCCCCCCACCCCGCCCCCCGCCAGCCCCTAGTGCCCACCATCCTGCTTTCTGTCCCTGTGAATGTGACTCCTCTGGGGACCTCATGTACGTGGAATCAGCCAGTAGCTGCCCTTTGTCACTGGCATATTTCACCTAGCGTGATGCCCTCCGGATTCGTCCATGTTGTAGCAGGTGTCGGAGTCCCCTTCCCCTTGGTGGCTGTTTCCTATTCCGTCGCATGGGTAGATGAGGTTTTGCTGCTCTGTTCATCCCTTGATAGAAGTTTGGGCTGTTGCCGCCTCTTGGCTGCTGGAACAGTGCTGGTGTAAACACGGGCGTACCATAATTATCTTTAAGTGTTAGACAGTTCAGCTGAAGTCAAGGGTCCTGCGTAGCCATGGCTGCAGAAATCTTGGGTCCCCAGAGCAGATCAGTCGAGCAGTCGCTGCGGATGAGGGCCAGGTGACAGCCCTTTACTGCTTCAGACAAATGAACACGCTGTACCTGAAAACTAAGTCTCACTGAGAAACATCACACGTTTTCTTTGAAAGTGACACCCGGGTACCCTTATAGTTGGTCAATAGCTTCGAGCACTCCATATCCGATCTTGCCTCTGCTTCTCCATCCACCGTAGCTAATAATTAGCACACAGTTCAACACCTAATGACAGGTGAGGCAATCAACATAAACATCCAACGCCCTCCTGAAGGCCAAAGTCCCCAACTGATCCACAAAGGGCTTCGAGAAACGTTTTTCGCCTCGAGAGTGGATTTTGTCGCGTGAAATCGTAAATGAGGTCCTTCTTATGTTGGGGGACACTTAAAAATAGTGTCTGAATGAACGCTGTTCTAAGATCCCATCATTCACCAAGCCAAGATCAAAGTTCGAGAAGCCCCGTGCTGGCTCACATGTGGGGAACCAGGCGCTCTTGGCAATCGGTGGCAGGAGTGCACATTTCTGTCACCTCTTTGCAGGGGGATTCGGCAAAGCCTGTGTAAATTTAAAACGTATATGCCCTTTGACCCAGCAAGTTGCCTTGAGAAGCTGGTTTTTCAGATATACATGCACAGGTGGGTGGGCAGAGATCTGTGCTAACAAGTCTTTGTCGCAGTGTTGATAGAACCAAAGTATCGGAAACAACATGAACGTCCAACAATAGGGGATTGCTTAACTAAATTACGGCTCACCTACACTGGCACCCATCCAGCAGGACCTTCTGTGATCATGGGCTCGTCTCTGTCTGCGCCGTCCGGTATATTAGCCCAAATCCAACCTTTCTACTGGACACTTGAAATGTGGCTGGTGCAATTGAGGAACTCATTTCGTTAAATTTTAACTAATGTAAAGGTAAATAGGGGCGCCCGGGTGGCTCAGTCGGTTCAGCGTCCGACCTCGGCTCAGGTCATGATCTCGTGGCCCGTGGGTTCGAGCCCTGCGTCGGGCTCCGTGCTGACAGCTCGGTCTGGAGCCTGCTTCAGATTCTGTGTCTCCCTCTCTCTCTGCCCCTCCCCTGCGCTCGCGCTCTTTCTCTCTCTCTCAAAAATAAATAAACATTTTTAAAATTTTTTAAAAATATTTTTTATTTTGTATTTTTTTTTAAAAATTTTTTTTCAACGTTTATTTATTTTTGGGATAGAGAGAGACAGAGCATGAACGGGGGAGGGGCAGAGAGAGAGGGAGACACAGAATTGGAAACAGGCTCCAGGCTCTGAGCCATCAGCCCAGAGCCGGACGCGGGGCTCGAACTCACGGACCGCGAGATCGTGACCTGGCTGAAGTCGGACGGTTAACCGACTGCGCCACCCAGGCACCCCGATTTTGTATTTTTAAAAGCATCCTCATTACTCATCAAAGGCCTTTGATCATAAAACCCCATCACTTTACTAATTGTTCAGATCCATGCAGACTTGTCTCAAGGCAGAAAATAATATTTGGCTCTCTCCGTTAGTTCTACACCTAACACAAGAACCCGGTCCTTACTCTTGTTTTCTTTTCAAGCGAATAAGAAGACCCAGTTGGGGTCATTTAAGCATTTCTAGAGCCGTCGTATTTAGGGGAAGTACAAAATGAGGAGTGCATGAGAAACTACATCTCGCACCTAATAAATATGGCAGCGTCCTGGGCAGACGCACAAAGTGATCTCCCCAGGACTTTTCTTCCCTTCAGCCTCGACTCAGCATGGGGGTGCCGTAAATCATTTATTCCCAAACTTTCAGGATTCTCTTGTGGCCAGGAAATCCTTGGGGCAAAAATGTCTAATCTGTTGTCAAGTATTGTTTTTTAATGAAAGAAAAACAAGACGGGGGGGGGGCGGTTAGACGTTTTTACTTCGGATG